CATCATTTAAATATTTTGAATACCATTTTATCCATTTATCTATAAAATAAAAATTTTAAAAGAGAAACGAAATCAAATCATATAATTACCTTCAATTAAATGTCTTGGTCTCCAAAATACATGAATAGCTAATTCAAATGAAAGACCAGATGGATACAAATCTCTATAATCATCAAAATATTGACTTAAATTATTATGTTTGATATAAAGACTAGAAAAATACAAAATATTTATACTGATGATATTAACCAAACAAAAAAAAGGAGTATTTACCGATCAAAAATTAAATCAAAATGACAATGTGTATCAACAATTGGTATAGATTCAGTTTTTATCAACCGTTTTGATATTTTAATCATTGTTTCACGTAATAGTGTTGATGTATGAAATTTATCCCAATATTCTGATTGATTTTTATTCAATAGTGATTGTTGTTTTTGATTACTAGATAAGAATTTTAATATATAAATACAAAAAGAATACAAAAAATAACTTACGATTCACAACAATCAAGTAATTCAGGAGGTATAAATGAATGGGATTCTTGTGTTGGAGTACGTACACATTCAAATTGAGGATATCGATTACTAATAGAAGATTTATTAATATTTGTTGTTGTAGAATGTGATTTATTATTATTGGTATTATCATTATTAGTAATGCTACAATGAAGATACTATATATTAAAGAAGAACGAGATGTTCTATTTTATTTACCTGAATACATCTGACGATTTAGAAACAGATTTCGGTTCATTATTAGAAGTGCTGCAAGAAGTAAGTATTTGACATATGCGTGTTAAATATTCTTGATTTATTATATGACTTGATGTATGAGTAGAAGAAGAAGATGATAATAATGAAGAAAATGTTAATGAATCGAATAAAGGTACAGATGAAACTAATTGAGATTGTGAAACAATTGTTGATTCTTTTTCATTTGAATCTATCGATAAAAACTCAATGGATTAGAAAATATGCTAATCTGTTAGTTATTAATAATATATAGAAATCTCACATAATTTCATACCTGTATTATCGATGATAACAATACGTTTCTTGGAGAGTGAAATGACTTGATTATCGTTTTTTTCTACAATAAATATTTCAAAGATTTTGATGCTTACGATAATAAAATTACCCTGATTTTGTTCTTTGTCGTATGATATAGTTTGAGGTATAACAATACGTTTTAGTGGATTTAGAATATTATCTGTATTCGATTGTTCGAGACTTTGTTGTTCATCGTGTTCTCTTTAAAGAAGAAATGAAATTTTGAAAAAAAATTTAACAATTATGCTAACTTTAAAGTAACAACTCGTTGAGATGAGAATGTTTTCGAATCATGTTCAATAAAAACATTACGATTTGGGGTTATTTGCAATTCTTTTCGTTTTTTCTTTTCAATTTCATCCGAATAATCATTTAAAAATTTACATTCATTTGATGTTATATTTTCAATAATAGTTGTTTTTAAATTTTTTAAACTATCTGAACATACTAATGGTCGTTTTCGTTCTTTATCTAATAATGATATTAGATCAGACATAATTCTAATCTTATCTATTTTGAAGTGAATATTCTTATAATTATAATAATCTTCTAAATATATATATATACACAAATCAAAATAATAATGACCACTACTTATCATAGATAGCGCTAAATACCGGTTTAATTTAATTCAAATAAAACTATTTATAAGTGAATAAAATTTTGTGAACAATAGGTGTCTGCTATATTGGTTGATTATTTTGTTTTGGAAATACAAAGAGAATAAGATAGCATTTTCTTGTTTTTGCTTTATCAAAGAAATGCGATCTATAACAGAACATTTTATAATTGTATGACTAATTGATAGCGGAAGAATGCCGTAGACAACATTTGAGTTAGCTTTCCCAAATTAAATTCTGAGAGTTCGATCAAGTATTGTTATTATTCTATTTATAATCTTACTTGATGCAACATTGAATTTTATTCAACTCGATCTTTCCGAGCTGTATTTAACACTGGCGGATTTAGAGGGGGGGGGGTGATCGCTCCCCCCCCTTCGAAATTTTTTTTGATTTTTTACAGCAAAAATAAGTACACACTACTTCGATTGGGCTCAACAATAGTTTTTAACGGAAATCGCCCCCCCCCACTCCTCAGGTGTCGCCCTCCCTTCCAAAATCCTGGATTCGCCACTGTTATTTAATAAAAGAAAATTCTCCTGTTTGAACATTAATAATCTCCATTAGATAAGAATCTTCACGTAAAAGAACTTATGAACTTTAACATTCGAACATGTAATACTGTTTGCTAAATTTTCATTATTTATATTCTATGAGATATGTTATGAATTATACCATCTGAACAAGATTAATTACAAGACATTATCTTGCTTACCATCAGAATTTTTTCAGCTTCTTCAGATGACATCGTAGATCTAGACAAGATAGATTATTACTGTAACAACAGTCAAAATAACTTTTGATCTACAATAAATATCATTATTCTAATACCAATTATACTTGACTATAGTACTAATATTTTGTCTTTTCATTTGCTTGTTTAAGAGAAGAAAATATGATATAATAATTCTATTCATTCTTTAGCACAATCAAAGGTAAATGTAATAAATATTAACAGTACATTGTCAAGAAATCGTTTATTTTTTTAAAGATAAGGGAAGAGAAAAAAAAGAAATAAAACTTATTAACTATTTCCTTTGAACGGAAAGAAAAATAATTAAAAATGTCACTAATATTATATAGATATATACAGTCATTTGTTCGGCCTTATTGTCATAAATAAAGTCTACGAATGAACAATATTTTCATTTTCGTCTTCATTTAATACTTGAAATGTTGGAATAAATATATCTTCATTATTTCCAACTGTAACTAAATCTCGATTATCACTATCATAATGAGCACGTATTAAATTAAATTTTTGATGATGATTATATGGATATTGTTGTTGGGTATTTTGTAAACTGCTTTGTCGATGACGATTTTTATATATACTTAAATATAAATAAGATGTTATACTTGTTTTACGTGAAGAATTTGTTCCAAAACTTATTGAACGATGAATTTGAAGTAAACGTCGACATGAACGACGGAATTTTGTTGATAAAATATTATAAATAATCTATTAACAAATGGAAGAAGAAAAAAAAGTAAATATATATACTTCTTAATTTCTTTTCTTACCGGATTTGCTGTAAAATTAAGAAAAAAAAG